TCCTTTGTTGTCTTCATCATCATCAGGAATGTGGTCAGGTTGGCAAGACAGTGCATCAGGAGCAGCCAGGTCTTTGCCTGGGACATGTTCAAGTTGCAGATCAAAGTCTGTAAGATCAAGTAGCCAGTGTGCCTGGTGATGATTCAGGTTCTGTGGTGCTTTAAAATAGGTCAAGTTCTTATGATCAGTGAACACCTTGACTGGAAACAGTGATCCGTGGAGATAGTGTCTCCAGGATTTTAACCCACAGATAACCCCTAACAGTTCTCTGTCATAAATGTCATAGTTTCGTTCAGCAGGGTTAAATGACTGAGAGATGAAGGTGCAGGGTTGCCACTGGCTGTTCAAGTTTTCCTGAAGGAGAGTGCCTCCAGTTGTGTACTTGGATGCATCAGTAGTAATTGCAAATGGCTGAGAAGTGTCAGGCATTCGGAGGGTTGGCTGTGTCATGAAGATTCTTTTCAGAATGTCAAAAGCAGTTTGGCACTTCTTTGACCATTCCCAAGTGACCGTCTTCTTGGTGAGGTCAATCAGAGGTCAGGCAATGTCTGAGTAGTATGGAACAAATCTTCTGTAGAAATTTGCAAATCCCAAAAAGGATCACACATCCTTGACCTTCTTTGGGACAGGCCATTCAGCAATGCCTTGAACCTTGACAGGATCCATGGCAATGGTGTTCTCTTTGATGATCATTCCAAGGTATTCAACCTCAGTTAGATCAAAATGACACTTCTTATGAGTTTTCCAACCAACATCACAAAATATGCACAGATGGTTTCATCTTCTGGTTCTTCATAGTCCATAAACTTGTTTATCCCCTTCTTTTCAGCTGGGGACACAAGGTTCATGACAGGTTCTTCAACCGCAACAGAAGAGATGTTGTGTTTCAGTTCTTTAGACCTATCAGTCTTCTCATTGATGGAGAGGGTTCCCATCCTCCAATCAATGATGGGGTTATTTTCTTGAAGCCAAGGGAGGCCTAGGATGACATTCTCCATTCCACAGTTAATGACATGGAAGAAGGTTTGATGGACAATTTCTTCAATCTTGAAATAGAGAGTGGTGGAAAACAGGATTTTTCCCTTAGAATTTGGGGTTCCATCTGTGTTTTTAGCAAGGATGGGTTCAGCAAGTCATTGTGTGGGGATTCAGTGTTTTTGCACAAATCCCCAGTCAATACAAGAGATTTCTGCACTGGAGTCAACTAGTGCAGTGGTTTTGATGACTTTTTCAGCTCTTTCTGATGTGTAGAGGGAGATGGGGATTTGCATAGTATGTTCTGGAGTGGAAGATACTAGTACAGGTGCAACAGAGACAGAACTGTCCTTAGTTTTGGGAACATCTGGCATCAACACAGAATTCCCTTCTAAAAATCCTTTCCAAGTGCTCTAGCAATGTTTATGAGAGTGATGGATGGACCAGTGACTTTTTCTTCATCATCACTTTCCTCCACAATCTTGCAGATTTTCTTTATTTTCTTTTGGGGAGTTTTCCCTTTGTCAGGACATTCTCAAGAGAGGTGTCCTTTATTGCCACAACTGAAACATCTTCCTTCTTTGATGTGATGGTCTCTTTCTTCTTTGGAGAGTCTCGCTCCATCCACTATGATGCTCCATCTGTAACATTAAACAAACAAAAATAAAACAGTTCATTGCACAACTTTTGCAGCACTGCTCCTCCACAACTTTTTATACTACCCCTGCATAATTTTTAACACAGCCACCTTGTACCACTTTGCACTAGCTAGGAGGGCAGATAAAATAGATAAATGCAGGCAGGATGTGAACACAGTTCATCAGCACCCTCCCTAGTCATCCCACTCAATCCATGAGGCCATGATGCCCCACAGGGCCCACTCAAATGCTTGACCCCCTCCCCCACCCCTCCCACCTGGTGGCAGGATTGCTCCTTCAGGAAATTCCCATGGCATTGCCACCTGCAAATTCATGTGACCACACTCCATGCCACAAGTCATCACTGGCCTAGTGAATTTGGGCCTGTTTCTTGGCAAAATACCCATTATTACATGGGTTATGTACAGTAGCATCAAAACAAGTCCCAAGGAACAGGTGAGGAGTGTGTGTAGCCCTGACTCACTTGCTCCCCCATGCATGTGCCCTGCTTAGTCAGTAGCTGTGGGCACAGCCACCTGCAAATTTTCTGCACATTACTGCAAAAGTTGTGCAATCAGCTGTTTTATTTTTGTTTGTTTAATGTTAAAGATGCAGCATCATAATCCACATCCATAGCATTAGGATCTTTTTCTTCAGAGAGGTTGTTCTTGGGATAGAATGTCCTCTTTTCCTTCTTTCCAGAAAGTTGATTTACTTTCCTCCATTTGGCATCAAACTTTTGTGCTAGTGTGTACCACTCAGTGACCTTTGTGGGAGTGGTTTCCATCATATGGATCTGGTTAGTGATGAATGGTTTGAGTCCTTGCAAGAAGAACTCAATCAATGTGATGTCTTCTGTGATGGTTGAGCCAGCAGCAGCAGTTCAGAAATCAGTGATGTACTGTTCCACTGATTCTTTCTGTTTCATGGTGCACAGCTTGGTAATGGCAGCACCAGCAGTGTCAGAGGAGGTGAAAGAACTTTTGAAGTCTTTCATAAAATCAGCAAAGGTGCTGAAACTTGGGGGGTTCTTTTCCAGAGAGGTTTTCTGGAAGGTAGCTGCCCAGGAACTTTCTTCATATACAACAAGGCATAGATGACCTTCTTGGTGTCATTGTCATAAATTTCTTTGTTTACCAAGAGATAGGTCTGTATGGAGCACAGCCAACTCATGGTGTTCTTCTGGTCACCATCAAAATCAGATGGGGCACCAATCTTCAATTCAGTGGCTTTGGTGGCAACAGTGCCAACCATTGCCTTTGATGATGAACTGGACATTATAGTTTGTGGTAGAGGCAGGGATGTAGGGAAAGTGGTGGTGGGTACTGGTGGGATGGGAGTACCAAGCATAGCAAGGGACTGGGTAAAGAGGTTCAAGAGGATACCAGAGGTGAATCCTCTATCTGGTTGTTCAGGTTCACCAGAGGAGGTGTCAGTGACAGTGCTCTCCTGTTCCTCATCAGATGATGATTCTTCACAAGTGGGTTGCAATGGCACCCAATGTCAATTGTTCTGGGGGTTCATAGTGGTGCACTGAACAGTGACCGGTTCAGCCAAAGGCTGGTAGACTTGAGCTTTTGTTATGCTAGACTGAAGTCGAGATGTAGGGAGAGCTCAAACACAGACAATGGGTTTCTACTGAGCAATGGCTGCAGTAACCTCTGTAAACAACAGAGGATTTGGGCAATGCCAGTAAGAGTGGTCTGGGTTAGGGACACTGAGGGTGAAGTTCTGAGAGAACACTGCATATGATTGAGCAGCTCAAGTCTGGGTTTCCAAGACTTGAGCTGACAGACTAAATACTACACAAGAAACAGACCATGAGGCATCCACATGTAACAAGGTAACTATGCCATTGGTTGAACAATGGCAATGCATGTCCTAAGCATGTACTTGAGCCAACAACACTAATGGTGGGGATAGAGAGCTGTCAGATCAGAGAGGAGATGGCTCAAAAAGGAAAAGTAGTCCAATGGATCAAACACAAGGTGAATGTAAGGAAAAACAGGGGTGAAACATAACACAAAGAGCCTGTTAAGGTTGCTGACACCAAACTCTCCATAGTAAACTAATAAAATTGACTGATAACAGCCAGTGAGAAGTGACAAAACAATAGTGACTATGCCCCAACCAAGTGCATCTAGGCCAACTCAATCCATAGGGATATGTCCATTGACAGTGATCACACTATGCAGACCAAGTCAATAGCACTACACCTAGAAGGCAGGGCTCATAACCTATTGCACAGAGGACAGGAAGGGAACAAGAGCAATAAGACAAACACTTGCCTTATAGACTAGTTGAGGTGGTAGTTTTTGAGGAAGTAGTTCTGAGTTGAAGCTGGGGCTTGAGTAAGAAAGAACAGTTGATTGTTTGAATTGTTCAATAGTTCAATAGGGAGTAAGGTAGAAATCCCTGAGTTTATATACATGTGTAGCTACATACAGACCAGTGGCATATAAGGGAAACTACTACTATGTATAGTAAAGAATAGTGGAGAATGTCATGGAACATGACATCATAAGTGATGTCATTGTGGAGCTGAATGACTGAGCAAGTCATGTGATGATACACATTGTATGAAACATGTAAATCTAGATGTGTCTAGATATTGGAACTAATAGGATATTTCCAACACAATGGCATGTTACAAGATACTAATGCTAGTGGTGGAAGTAAGAGGCCATCAGATCAAGAAGAAGAAGATGGCTGAGAAAGGAAAAGTAAGTCCAATGGAAGCAACATGAGGTAAACATAACATATGCACTATAAAACAGGTGAACTTAGAGTCATGTCAGTGCAGATCAGTTTTGAGGGCTCATAACCTGTTGTAAAACCTGACTGGACATGCTCAGTGTCATAGACACAAGCACTAACATTGACAATACCTGACCAGACATGCTACAAAGAGTAAGTATACACATGTGTCCTCAGGGGCTACTGTACTCACCTCAGCGTCATAGACACAAGCGCTGAGGTGTAAACTAATGTAAACAACTCTATAAGTACAACCGTGTACAACATGGACTACATTTTCTATGTAGTGTTCCGTGCCTCGGCTTACGTAGAAAACTATCATTACAACATCCCAGGAAGCAGTCTCTCTGATTGATTGTCTCTTATCTACTGTCTCGGAACACACCACCAATACATTAATGAGACCTTCATCACGATACATGAGCAATTGGATGTATCACCATGTTCGTAGACAGCAGCGACTGAGAGCTAGAGAGTAATCAGTGTGGAACAAACGCATGACCCTATAGATAATCACCTATACCACATGGTATGGACCAAGCATGGACCAATGGTAAATATGTAAGTCGCAAGCAGGTAATAATACAAGGACAAGAAGAGGACGAACAAAGGATACAACCAACAACCCTCTTACAGCTTCTCCGTCCCTGTTCTGAGCCGCCACATCCCATTCTTACCCCTCGACAATCCCTCAAAGAAGACCTTTCCACGCAGAAAATCGACTCGTCTAACACCACCCAACCTCTCAGCCTCATCTCGACATCGAGTGAGATACGCCTGGTTGAGGGCTTGCCTGTCATGGTCATCAAGGTCATCGTTGTAGTAATCAGATTGATTGATAGGCTTGTACAGAGCTGCAAAGAGCTGCTGGAATAGATCGGCGAGTGTGATATAGCCGCCGTCTTGTGCTACGACATCGATGTACCATGGAAGACGGGAATTATATATCCGCATCCATGGCGTGCAGGGCTCCGTAACAGTCTGTGCCATATCCCGCTGGTCGGGACGACGATCCAAGCTGCGAAACACGAGCGATTGCGGGTCCCGACGGAGGTCGTAGATAGTGGGGGGATAGACTTTGTCATGCTGCAAGTATCGGTGAAGCATCAGCTTGGAACTGCTGACCCAATCTGTAGTTGGCGGGAAAAAGGCGCTCATGAGACAAGCACTGACGAGAAGAGTGGACAAAACACTAACCGCTTGGCGGGTGAGTTTGGCTAGCTTTTATGCGGAATACGCCTGCAAGACCAGACTTGAACTTGAAATCACGCCTCCAGTTGCTCGGCCGCTCGTTGTATAACATTGGTCTTGGCTGACTGCTACCACCGGCGGCAGCAGTGGGGTATGACAGAGTCGAGGAAGGGGTATGCAAATTGGTGGGGTGATAAGTTCCCAGATCCCGAATGGTAGGTCTTGTCTCCAGGTCATCAAACAAGGGTGACAGTTCACCTGCTTCTTGTTGTGCATGCGGCTCTCGCGGGCGTCTGACGAGAGCAGTTGACATGTTCCTTGCTTCCTTCTGTTCGGCCGGATAGCTATTTGTTCTGCGATGTGCCACAGGACGACCTTGGCGATGTGTTTCCGCAGGAGCTTGTTGACGAGGAACATACGGGCTGGGTGCAGCTTGTTGCTGCTCTTGCTGTTGCTGATAAGGCGGGGAGCCGTAGTAGGGATACCCTGGAGGGTAAGGGTACTGTGGACTGAACTGCTGGGTGTGCGGGGAAGCGTAGGCAGGATAGCCGTAAGCAGTGGGCATCGGATGACCAACGGGCTGGGCAGGGTATCCCCAGGCGTAATTCTGCTGCTGGGGAGGGTGGTGATGTGGTTGGGGAGGTGGCGCGCCGCTGGGCCCGAGGATGGTTGCTCCTGGTGGTGGTGGGATATGTCTTTGGTGGGTATCTGGATCTACCAGCGGAGGCATATCGTTCGACATTGTTACGCTTGAAGTCGTAAGAAAATTTTTGGGATCTATATTACGGGGTGCTGCGCAGCAAGCAGAAGTTGGGACTGCAAAAGACGTCGAGCGCTCTGGTAAGGGTTGCTGCACTGCTCAAATTGGCGCGTTCTCAGCGGCTCATCGAAGGCCTACTCGTTGCAGAATGACTCGGTGTGATTCGGACGAAAGGCTGAGAGTGCCAGCCAACAAAGGCAATGGCAGTGATCAGTCGAACCTTGCTTGAACTTGCCTTTCTAGTTGGGCTCACAGCTGGCAAGGCCCGCGAAGTAGGGATTTGCAGTGGCTTTTAGAAACAGGTGTGTTTGATTCTTTTGTGAATGCATGAAACGACTTGCAGGAAGTACTGATGGGCCATACTGCCCACGAAACTGGTCAACAGTACGGGAGCATGTCTTCACAACCGGCAGTACTGTAGGTTTAATGACCAAGCTGTTCCCAGCCTTGTCGCGCTGGTTGTGCGACCACCCGCGAAACGGGCTCGCGTACCCTATGTACCACCTTTCATTGGGTCAAGTCGACGACCGTCCTTTTACAAAATCAGCTCTTGGACATTCATTTTCCACAGCTGCTCCGAGAGGTCTCCGCGCAATCCCCAATGCCCACGAGGTCTTCGTGTTCAGCTATATGATGTCGTACTCACCAGCTTTCCATGCTCCGCCGGGTATGCTTCGCGGGACAATGTCTCTCTATGCTGGCCATTCACTACCGCTCTGACGCCCGGACTGTCGCTTTCTGAACCTTCCTTGAATGAAAGCTTGTATGTCGCACCTGGAAATATCTCTGCTGCCGTTCGTCCGGTTCCTCCTTCCTTTCGATGCGAGGACCAAAATAACGAAACAACATGAATAAAGCGGCGCAAAGATTCGCAAGGATGGATGGCAAGGGAGAAGGGTGAGTCGTGCCCTGTTTCTCCATGAACAACGTGTGCTGGATGCCACGCGACCTGGAAGATCTGCACACATGCAAGCCTCGCGTTGCATTCCATGATAACGGAAATGGTTTTCGTGCCTCGAGTCGTGGGGCCCGGAAACCCTCCATTCATTCTCGCAGAGAGCTTGGACCGTCTATCTGGTACGTTTCACTGCGACTGTTCTTTCCATATGTTCCATGTGGGACCCTTTGTTCCGAGATTCTTTGAATGCCATATCGCCTGAGTGTTATACATTATCAATGGATCATGTGCTACCGCAAATTTTAGAATCATTGTCTGCTGGCATCGCAAAGACGCTTATTCTTTTCCTGCGTTCTATCCACACCCAACAAATGCATGACAAATACTATCAATACTATCATATCTACCCGAGCTCCGTGGCAGAGTATCCTGAGCTATGCGCAACGGAAATAATGAAATTTTGTTCGATCTATTCCGTACCCTTACCTTGGCGATATTTCGGTCCTCGGAAGAGTGGCAAGTCTCACTTCCCTTTTTTTTTTCTTCATGGTGGTGACACGCTTCAGCTCCAGATCAAATACATAACCACTAGTTGGCAAGGTGGGTATCCTCCTTGCTCTCGTGCTGCACGTACGTCATGAACGCTGGCTGTTAGTAGTATGTCGGACTCTCCCGACAGCAATAACACCTTTGTCAGACTGGACGTCACTAACCGAATCGTGGAGCTGGACCGAAGATAACATCGGTTGCTTCCGCGTGGTTATTCCTTGAACCGATAAGATTATCCTTAACGAGCACGGACCATCGAATACCACAGGGGACCATTCTTTAAGTGGCGCTGTCATGAGTTCTAGGTCTATCCTCGAATGAAGATCTAGGAGATCCATACTGGAGTGACTGGTATTCCCCCGAAACTTTGAGCAATTGAGTTTATCGAGTTAACCTTTGGGCGGAGAACGACCATCTATCCGAATCCGAATATCGTCAGAATACCCATATGCTATCTAAATTGTCCCTTCAACAAACATGGGACATGCATACTTACATTGGGGGCGCACTTTACACGCTACAGTGGAGGACTGATCACACGACGGGAGAACGAATGTAGTATGGAGGGAACCACCCTTGTGGTCTTGCTATAGCAGGCTTCTCGCTACAACGTGTTCTTCGGGCGGCACGTGTCGCTCTGGGTAGCTGTGGTTTGTCCTCGGCTATTTCATTGTAAGTCACTTTCTCTGCCTCGAGGCGCGTTGTCCTTGCGGGCTCTCATTCCCCCAACCTGAACTCATGGGGAAATTATGGCGACTTTTTGCCGTTCGTCCTCGACATGAGTTTAAGCGGGACAGAACCTGGGAGATCACTTCGCGAGGCGAAGCTGAAGGTATGTATGTGGTCAACGCGTATTGGACCGACCTTTTTCTTTCTCTGAGTGGTGGGTCTTTTCATTAGATAAACCGCAGTAGATTCCGTGGCGCTTTCGAAATCTTGGAATCTTCGACACCACACTTCGTTTGCACGATGCGCATTATTAGTCATTTGTGCCATCATTCTTACCTTTTTTCCCTCATCCCAATGGTCAGAATTCGCTCGTTACCTTTGGACATCTCTACCCTGGAATGTATCCAAACATGTTCGCTCCCCGGCAACCGGCCCTCGAAGATTCCTCTGGATGGACGGAAATAGAACGGTGGTGAGAGTCTTATATCATGAATATTTCTTGTTCGTCACCTCTCATATTCTCGAAGCGCATCAATTTCCTCACGTTCATTTTCTCAACTCATTGATGGGCCTAAATACTCACCTTGTGACCTCAAAGTCTATACTCGCGTGCTCTTGCTCCATTCAGCCCCGTCCAGAAGTCCTCCCTCTGCCCGATTTTCTCCATTTGGAAATCAATGGCGGACTATATTTGGGTATATTTACTTTTTTGATTCCGCTGGCGGCGCTGTTCATTGCTTCCGACCGTTCCTGTGGGTAAAACGCCCGCGGTCGTATATCTTTTCGGAATATCTATCATTCCCCCGCTAGCATGTATACGATATTTGCCAGGGAGTAACATCCCATGATTGCTATCTCTACAGCTGGGATCCCGTATGAGTGGTCAGTAGTTGAAACTTGGAAGATGGGGAGGGGGGAAAAGGGGAAGAAACACGTATCAACTATATACACAATAAACAACAGATCAATATCTGATGAGCTAGGGTATCGTCGTCGAGATCGATGTGTCGCAGACCCCGGATATGTTACAGTATATATACACCTGAGAGGGGCGCGGGAGTTCCATGTGAGTCGCAGTTTATAACAATACACCGGTAGTTGAATAAAACCTTGAGAGAAAAGACGTAAAGGCAGGAGAAATTTTGAGGAAGGGAGTGGAACGACAAAATGATGCAGATATGTTTCATGTGCGGCCTCCGATGAATGCGGCTGCAGAGGCGATAAGAGTAATCACGCGCGCGTCGGCCTATCCGGTCCATCTTCCCGTTCAGAAGGCCGTCAGCGATGACATGAACGTGGAAAATTCCATGTCTGTGCTAGCGATTTCAGGTTTGGTAGGGTAGTGGAAGGAATTTAGGTGGCCTTTGGTGAACGGGGCGAAATCCGGCCGAGAGAAGGGCACGGAGGTATCGATGTGGTGATGGAAAACATCCAGGCCAGCTGTGTACTGTTGTCCACACGGGGATATATCATGCTGATTGGGTGGGATATTGTCGAACGCGTATGAACCGAGTACGAACGGGTGGTCTGTACCGATACAGTCGAAAGACGGGGAGGGAGAGAGCATCTGCGGGGTAGCTGGGGAACTCGACGGACGAGATGAGCAGGGTGTCCAATCATTGTTGTTATACGCCATGTCGTAGCATGGCACAGGTGTTGTCACTCGCCCTTCCGTCGGAGAACAGGGGTAGCTGGCTACTGAACCATTCGCAGACATGATCGAATCGCCAAACGCCATATCGAACATAAATGGATCGAGTTCCTACGCGTCGGGCATTTGTCAGCGTGATCGATAGCGGCTCACATAACAAGCAAAACTTACAAATGAAGGTTGTGACTTTGCAGGGAACGAATATGATAGGGTTGGGTCGAACGAAGGGGATACCGACAAATCTGGGCAACTTTGTGTTGAGACCAAGGTGTGGATTGCAGTGACAGGTTCCGTAGGGCTCGGCGCCTCGAACTCAGTTGGTTGGGCAACTTGGAACGAGGGCTGACTGCTGGTAGATCGTGTGCGCCTAGAGGAGGATTTCTTAGGTTTGTCATTGTCGACAGGCGCGGAAGATGATCTACGAAATGACCGGGCGGTGATGGGCGTTTCAAATCGAGTGACGATCTCCGGCACGTGGGTACGATCAAATTCCTGGATAGCAGCGTCGAGTTCAGCTCCCTTCTTGCCCTCAACCAGTAGCTCCGCGATCTTTGCACACCGCTTGAGATCCTTCGGCTCCACTTCCCGTACCTTTCTCTTTTCCGTAGTCCCCTTTGATTTCGAATGCGAGGGACGGAAGGCGTACTGCGGCCACTTCTTGCGGTGCTCCTCTAGCGCTTTCTTCGCCTTTGCGTGCCAAATCTGCCGTTCGTCGTGAGGCATGCTCTGCCAGGTGAGCCCGATGATCTTAGATAGAGTGCTGTGGTTGGTCTCGACATCACTCGAGACGTGCTGGCTTTTGATAAACGCGGATCGGAAGAGGATGAAAGCATTGGGGGGACGGGGGATGTAATCTTCACCGCGTTTTTTACCGTGATTTGGACGGCGAGGGGAACCTTCCAATGGGGAAGGAGGGAAGAGGATAGGGTCGGAAGTGGTGTCCGAGGTGGGAAGAGGGTCGTTGAATGTGACTGGAGTCACGTTTGGCGCGAAAGCGATGCTGCTAGGGGGGGCCGTGTGGGTCCAAGGGGGGAGAGCGCCTAATGTGATCATTTGCGTTAACGAAAGACCTTGCCCGATCTAGAGGGAATACACACCTTGGCTACACCCATGGGAAGGCTTCCGAGATCTTTGTGCTGGCATGGGTGACTGTTGGGTGTCGCAAAGGAGGGAAGGGGGCGAGTGAGAAGGAGCGGAGGGGCAGGGGGGGATATGACCGGCTCGGGGGACACGAGGCAGGGGAAGACAGGGTGTGATTTATATGTACCTCTTCCAGTCTCAGATAAAGCCCATCCATGGCGTCTGTCGAAGGACTCGGATATGACTTCCTTATCCGGTCCTAAGCAGAAAAATACACATAAAATAAAATAAAATCGGTATTATTTACATAATACCTTAATCTCATACAAGAACGGCTCTCTCCCCGTTACGGCAAGTCAGACCCGAGTGAACGTACCCATCGTCGGACATCTAATCTTTTCCCACACGATGCATTCCGTAATTTTCAAGGTTTGCTTCCGCTGTCTGCCCAGGGACAAGACAAGACCTCGGCTGTCGAGCGGCCTGCAATTGTTTTGCGTCTCCGCTCGAAATGCCGACGGCTTGCCCAAAGAGCCCCACGAGTTTCGATGACGACGGGCTCTTGCAACAGATGTTATGAAGCTTTGCTACTGCCCCGCAGTCGAGTTGCCATTGTTATCAGGACAAGTTATTTCCTGTAAACTGAGGGAGATGGCCGGACTGGCCGCCATTCAAACCACCTTATTCGGCTAACTCGGGTCCTCCGCTCATCACCTTTGCGGTCGCGGGTGTCCAAAACAGACGGTGTGGTGCGATCATTTGTCCCATGCGCATGCACCACTGCAAAGTTGGCAAGTGCGCACGTTCATATTCCTCTAAATGTCAAGACTGGCTAGCTCACAGCAATGCATTTCCTAGCCACATCCACATGATCCATCCAGGTCGCCATCCGTAAACTGCGATCATAGCCGCGCCAGCGTAACATTGGCGATATGTAAGTATTGGAGGTTCAGAGCCAACTCAATCGATATGGCGAAATGTGGCGCTATTCCCTCACACGTCACTTTGACATTGGGCGGATCAATCGTCGATTTCACTTCGACAGTATTGCCCACACTTTCAGGTTGATAAAAATTTTCATTCTTATCAATCCCTCCAAACATTCACGGGAAGACATGCCAACGACTGCCAGCGACGGCCCCCCCCCCTGAAGTCAGGTACCTCGATCTATTAGGGTTGCACTAGACACCTTCAAACGTTCGAACGGGTGCATATGTAGTACCTTAGCGAATGCCCGAGGGGGACATGTCAGATCGATGGTTTCAACGCTCGGCAGGTAGGCGGTTTCTCTCCTCAGAGACGTATGACTTATTTACCTAACGCCACTGGGTGACCTGACGCGGCGTCCGTGGAACTAACAGGCTTTCTCTTCACTTCGATATTCAGTTTCAAAGGGGCCGATGGTTGTGATGACACTATGGCCTTGTTCTAATTCTGCACTGACAGGTCTATTAACAGTTTCGAGGGGTTCCTCACAGCGTAGATGGTATCATGGAGCTAACCTGCCGGGGTTTGCTTTCGCCGGAGCCATCTCAACAACAATGTTGCCTATCTACCTTGACATAGTCGCTCACCACCATCGCCTAGTATTTCTCAAGACACTGCCAAGTCTAGTCGTGACACATAGAACCGTTGTTGCACATGGCAGCGATTTAGTACAAATGGCGTTCGTGAGATAGGACTTAAGACGCGTATGTTCTAGCGCGGTGTCGCTAGGTTTGATGACGCGCTGTCTAGCGTGTTTTCATGGAGAGGTAAGTAACACTCATCCTCCGTTGCAAGCCAATACGCCCGGAATCCGCGGACAGCCATCGATAGGTAGCTCGTGGAGACTTTGCAATGAATCTCGTCGTAACATCTCAGTCTAAGTTCGAGATCGCAAGTCCGTTTGGCATCATCAGATTTCGGCGGTGGGTCAGCAGTCGCGCCACTCCATGTACAGATTTCCATGGACCCGGAGAAACCAACTGAGATCTCATTTATCTCGATCGACATTCTGTGCTCGCGCATGACCTTGCACCGGTATTGTGTGGCTGGCCATTCCGCATTCCCGACAGACGTCATGTCTGAGTCCCGTCAAATTCGCTGCACTACACACATGCGGCCACGCCCCCTACGGACATAGATCCGCAAGTACAGCAAAATAACCATGGTCCATGATGCTTTCCATAGGCCGACTACTGCACGCACACGCTGGGAAGACTGTCCAAAACCGTTTCTGAATGAAGGGAGCCAGTGAATTCATCTGACAAGTCTTCACAGCAGCGATGCTCGTCACTGCACTTCTTTCCCTGCATACTGTATAACATCAGCGGTGTTGTTTCATATGCCCTCATTTACACAGCCACCCAGTATAGCAATGTTCTTTCCACTTGTACCGCACCTTCATTATCTTTGGCCACTGGCTGCTTGCTTCCTCAAGACCTTGCTATAACATCGGTTCGTTCCTACATCATATCTTCGTATGTGAGGGGAATTTACAATGATCCTGTGCCTCGGGGCTCCGCTGATCATCGATGGAAGTCGTACTAGCCCATCTAAGATATCGTGGGTATCTTGTGTAGGTTCTAACGTCCGTGATCAAGTGGCCGATACTATTAAGGTTCCTATGATGAGCTAGGTTAACGTATGGCGGGGAAGTCGTGAAACAAAGTTCTTTTCCTATGAATGGCCTCGTCTCATCACAGATCATGCGCACGTGATGCTATCTCCCTGCAAGATATGGGACTGTCCTTCGCCGCCAACCGCAAAGACTCAGTTGTATCACTTCTCCCTGATCGTTGACCCTGCTTATTATCACTTGTGACTTAGCTGACCATATAGAGATGTGGACCCACAACTCGAAACTGCCGATATGCGGGACCCTTCGCTGCCTTTTTGATGACACCCCAAGCCACATGATGCAATCGGGCGATAATACCAGTACCGTCGATCACTAACCCGCGAGGCGTAACTCATTCATATCACGTAGGGCAGCGTCCAAGTTTCAAGGTTTTCGTCAACAATCAAGGTTTCGAATTTCAGGATAGCGCATCCTAGCTTTGGATAGTACTAGTGAAGTTGACCAACTCCGTTTACTTCATCAGCCACCGACCATCGGGTGAATTTTCGTCGCCGATGCCTGGAAATCGTTAAACTTGACGGATTGACGATAGCCTGATAACACACTTGTAGGAAAGAACAAAGTTCCCGGCACAAGATAAGAATCGCTGTACCACAAGTCGTCTTTCGTCCTTGCTTGGTTAGAGATTACATTCGATCCTTACCTATTCACGCTAGCGGCCCGTGATTTTCATGAATCAAGGAGACTAGAATGCACAAGATAATGAGCACAGCAATCCACCGCATTTACAGGTTGGCCGGATGATCACTGCTGCATAGACACAGCAACCTCCGCATTAATACCGCATACTCGACAATGGCGGAGCAGGGTCATCGCCCTCGACGTTGTAAATTTTAGGGGTATGATCAGCCGTCGATCATGATCAACAAGGCTGCTGTGTGTCCAAGAATCCAAGCAGTGACGATCCAAGGCTGAACAACGTTGTGCGCTCCACTCGGAAATAAAGCTGGCTACGTCCGTAATAACTTGTGGGTCCACTATCGTGAGAGAATACTGAGGATCACTACTAGGTGCTGGCTTGACGAGCCTTATACGGTGCCATCATCGCTACCGTACTTACCTGATAAATCTCCGTTACGTGATAAGATAACGGCTCGTGAAAGTATAAGTATATGGGGTGAGACATTGAGACTGAAAACCCTGACGACCTAGCAGTTTTCGGTGCCATTTACTCGTAAACAAACCATGATCAAGTGAGTGAAGGACGCTTAGATTGCCTGGCTTGATCCCCGAAGTGATTACAGCAGCGAGAATTCGCTGGAGAAAGGTAGAAGCCCGCATCAGATTCTGTTCACAGCACGCCACCACCAACTCCATAACAGGTGAAATGGTTGGACATCGACATACATCGCGTACGTGAGACTTGTGCTAACCAACGGGGGGAGGGTGGGGTGATGAGGAAGTGCTGACCTAGTAAGGGAATCCTGTAGGCCATGAGGCGTTGAGTCTGACCCATAAAGTAAGTCATAGGATCGCGGGTGATACGACCTAGCCGATTGCCACGGAAGCATAAAAATACCGGTGTTAGACCAAGTCCGTACGTACACAGCTAGAGGGACGAAAGATACTGAATCTGGTGTGCTTCTTGCACCCAAGTACTTACTTGCTGCGGTCCAGTTCTACTGTCTCCTCCACTGCGGCGCTGTTTCGGAAGCGAAACCTTGCCAGTCGCCGTAATCCTTCCAAAAATTGGTAGTGGCGGCAGTCGTGATAGTTAAGATTAGAGCCAGTATTTGAAAATTTGTATCATTCACTTCTGGTGTTTTGTCATGCTAAGGATGCCCATGGAGAAACTGCCATTCAGTATTCGAAGCCGTCGGAGCTGCGGCACGAAATCCCTCAGCTCACGTGCGGAAATGACGTCTGCCACGTCCGACACTCGGGCCCAGGCCCCTTGGACAGTCTTCCTCAGCACCCGAGCAGCTGCTGCCATGGAATCGACGTTTGGAGTTTTCTTGTACTTACTTTCAAGCATGCAGATTGACAAGAACAAAGAGCGAGGAGATGACAACTCCGGTCGTTATGTCAAGCGACGAGTCAGCATGGACGTCGACGTGGACAGATTCATAGCCTATCGGTTGTCCGAGAACAGGAGTGTGTCAATCTGCTCGGAGCAAGGTGATTGTAGTATTAGCTTAGGCGTTTTTGACCCTTGATGCATAGTATCGGTTCCCCTCTGTTGGAGCTGGGAAGGGCTGGATTTTGCCAATACGCACGTGGCAGCTTCCAATGGGAGTGGTTTTGCTATGCAGAGGTGGCAGCTCAGGAGTTCAATCTCAGAACCCCAGCTCGTCATGTCAACTTGAACAAACGCTGGCCGAAGCTCACCCGGGTACTGGGTGCGTTCTTCTCTTCCGGCCTTCTCAAATCTTAGCTCGGTCGTTCCCAATGCACTTACGGCTTCCCGACGGGTTGCCGACATCATTCAGTAGCGGAAAGGACACCCTTCGAATACGTACAAAGTCGCTCTACATAGGATATTGACACTTCATTTCAGACGGCTCGGCGCTTGCCACTTTGTCAGGCGTCCGTCCCTGCGAAATCCGGCTGTCCGAGGACTTTAGGTAGCCCCCCTTTGGTTCCGCCGGTGGTGTCAGCGTTCGAGTGCCTGGTGAACTTAATTTCCGGGCGCCAAAATGCAAACGTGCGATATGACCAGATGACTTGGGGGGGAGGCTGCCTCATACAAAGTATGTACACTTTTTTCGCCTGTGGGTTTCGGACCCTTTGTTGATCGAACAGGAATTATCAAGGGAGCACGGATGTGGTTATCATGCACGGCCTACCGGAATGTGCATGACGCCGGAATGTGACGACCACTCATCATCGACACACCATCACTGTAAGCACATTGAATCTTGCTTCTCTGACTACACTGGGGACAATATGTACTACGGACGAAGATTTGGGTTTTCGATGATTACACAGCTTACTCCTAACCTGCCAGCTTAGATACATCGTTCGGAATCCAAATCTTTGGTGTAGTCAATCCTCCTCCGTAACTTCAAGATCCCCATGCATTCTGTGTCAGTATCCTGCACGGATGTTCGGACCGCTTCCAATCAGCGCTTGACAACCAGTAATCGCTTCCCACGGACATCGCTCTGGTGGCCTTCACCCGTGTCTTCACTGTCGTTGCCGACCCTAAGGAATACGATTGGTTCTTGTCGCCTCTTCTCTTCGCTGCCACATGGCATGAAGCTACCGCCTGTCTTCCTTCGCTGAACCAGGTAATCACTCCAGACTCTTATGGCCCTTCCAGCTGGATTTCAGATGTCCTATGACTTCCCGTGCTCCTGAGTAGCGAGCAACTGGCAGCTGGGCCCAATAACAGTTCGCGCGACGCGTCAACTGTCAGTATTGTGGATGTCGAGTGGGCCATGAGTTGTGATGCTGTGGACCGAGTCGATTCAATACTATTGTCCTTTTTCTTGGGGTCGAGGTATGCCTTTATAGTCTGGTTGCTGGAGAGTTTCGCTTACTTAATTTTTGACAGGTACCTTGCCTTTCACCTCAGATCGCTTCCGCAACCAGGAAAATTTCCTATAACTTTGTCCGGGTAAGGCTCATTGACAGGTATATATACATGGTCTTGGTAAGTACGATCTGCATACACTGGTATGTATCACTCAATCGTCGTCCTTAGGATTGCCAGCCCACGAGATGTCCATGATTTCGTCAATGGAGCACCGATGAGTGGAAGGTTTGTGTACGCTTCGCAACGGTTTTCATCAGGTGAAGTGTGGTTCTGTGCTATTCACTCAGCGCCCGAAATTCACTCGTCAGGGGTATTAACTATCAGCAACTCTTCCTCCGGTAATTATCCAGTGGGGGACTTCGCCTTTGACACTCAGAAAGATTCTCAGTTTTGAGGTGACAGAATAAGTGCACGCCCTGAAACCTGCAGGCTTGCCAACGGCGGGGCCTTTACCAACACTCTTCAGTAAGACTCTCGCGCCTTCGACCGCCCCCCCGACACCTCTGCCATCCCTCCTTTCCAAAGCGCACAAAAATCCGGGTAGTACTCGTCCAGAAGCCTTAACTCGAAAATTCGCAAAAGCATCTCGTTTGAAAAGGCGGTTAGTAGGAGAAACAAGCAATCATCTGATGCATTCCTCGACTTTGTGCCTCTGAGTCAACACCAGCGCGGAAATCACTGAGTTCTGTGGTGACGTCTCGTTCTTGCTCCTCCAACGCGAACAGCACTGCATGTGCTTCAACAAGTTCATTCACGGACAGGATGGGTTTGGATCCAAGCCGGTATCACGATCAGCATCAATAGCTGTTGAATAGTGTCTGAACATCGAACACGCACCTTGGTATCTGTAGGGCCGATTAATCGATGAAATGGTTGTTAGCGACTAGTACTAAAAGACGTTGCACACCGAATGCTCGTGGTTTCAATTGTTGTAACGTGGTTCTCTCAGCGTGTTTCGAGAGCGAATTATGTATCGCTAACAATCATGCAATAGCACCTAGCTTCAAGTACTGTAAGTGACCCTTGCAGGCCCCCGGCAACCCAAAACATGCTCCTAAAACAAGTTGACCGCTCCACGACATAGAAAGTGCAATGACGGTGAAAGGAAAGCCAGATGTGACCAACGTTTATGGGGGTAAGGTCTGATGGAGCGCAAGAAGAACTGTTACTTGCCCCGCATGCAACTCTGTAACAATCACAACCACAGCCGTTTGTAGTCCGCAGTTGATTTGCCGTGTTGACATTCTCATCGATGCCCAGCACGCTACTAGCGTTGTCACCTGGATCAACTCGTACGATGAAGTGTGAACCGCCGGGTAAGTTAATGTAACGCCGTAAAGACTCAGAGGTATTGTGATGATGCTACATAGAGAAAGTCGGGGCTTGCTTGACGGAGAAATGTGATCTGGCGCACTCCATTCTGCAAACTACCATCAGAGTGTCCTTGTTATGAAACAGACCGCGCATCGAGACCCACATCACGCGGAGCTCTAAGTCACTACTGGACGTTGAAATCGACCCTTGTAATTGGACAGTCGCTGGTTCAAGACGCAAGGTTTATACGGTAACTTCAGCTCGTTGCGACTTGGGCAGAGCGCTGGCGCAGCCTCACTATAAAGTTGCGCGAACGACTCCATTTTCCCCGGCATTCATGGCCTTGAAAATGTTAACCGTTTGTCCCTTTCTTCGCTAACATCCGTGTCGATTGCGATTTTCCCTCTGCCGACCGGAAGAGTTGGCCCCTCCCATTCCTTTGGCCCGAACGCGCTCCCCGTGTAGAAGACATCCACTTTGTAATCAATTCTGCGTTTCGTCTTGAATCCCTGTCCCGTCAGAAACTTACTTCACTGTGTCTGCGCCTAAACTCACGCACTTGAAGGTCATCGGTTCCGCTCAGATTTGTCGCTGCATGGCACTTTCGTGGGCGTTAGTGGCAGGTTCAGCACCGTTGACCACCTTGAATTGTATCGCAACTCTCGAGATGACGAAACCGTATTGGAGTCTGCGGCATTCCTGGTGTGCATCACTTGGTACTCCTGGAACACGCCAAAATCCCAATCCCCTGCTGTGCAAAGGGCTCAAACACGGTTTATAACTGGCAGCACCTTGAAAGCCTATCCATCAACGGACATCTGCACGGCTAAAAGGCCTTTGTGGTTTTCTATGTAAGCAGAGTTTACGGAGCATTGCATAGAATTTAGTCCATGCGTGAGTAAGCGAAGTGTGACGCGTCTCTTGTCTTCTGCACACTTCGCGAATTGCAGATTCTGCGCCTCCAGCCGTCGCGCAGATCTCCTCTCGTTTTTCGCACCCGCCCGCCTCACCCTCTCTCAGGTCTAGCTGCCTGCAGGCAGGACATTGTCATCTGGGAAAGCTACGAAGAGTCGACCTGCTCGGCACCCATCCCGCCCTCACAGCTCACTCTTCGCCCCAGATACATTTCCTCCTCCGGGCCGGAAAACCCTTCGGGTTTCCACCCAACTCACAGTTCCATCGTTAAGCTCGTCGCCCCGGTATATCTCACTTGGAACCTGCGGCGTCGCTATTTTCTTCTCTCACTGTACGTAGTTTCCCTCCGAGAAACAAAGCGTTCGAAACACATGGGTCAATGTTTTAGCCAACTGCCTTAGGTGGCGACGAGAGGTGGGTCTATCAAAGTTGCGATTAAACTTTCAGCAACGCTTTCCCGGAGTTTGCATTTCGTTCGTGTACGAGCGGCTCAACGATTTATGTGTTTTGACATTCGCGTATGCCATCCGCGATGTCGAGCTTTCTGTCATCGGTGGCGACTCGTGGTTGGTACGTCCCATGTGTTCGTATCGAGCATTCCGGTTGGAACGGCATTCCTTCTGCGCAGATAGCGCCTGTATCTTTGGTACGTACATCCTCTGGGTTGTATGCTGACGTTGAATACCCTATCAATTAGGCTATACCATCAGACCGGCCTTATGTTTAGATGGCCTTCGTCATACCATAATGTCGGACGCATTGGTACCGCCTTTATATACCTTCTGCCGTTCCAGGGTCCTCCAGCTTATAGTTCATATTACAAGTAGTTTTGTTCCGGTCGAACACTCAGAGACATGACCAGGACAAGATTTGACTTGGATGCACCAAAATTAGAGTTCTCGGGCTTCTTTGTGCCAAGTGCGTCCACGTAACCAAGGATATGACCGAAAGACTTAATGCGGGCAGACCCCGTTCCGATGTTCTGTAAGAGAAGTGCGGAATTTACTCAATCTTCTGTCCGCAGTAGTCAGAAGTAGCTAAGGAGGAGTCTTTGGTTGCTCCAAACCAGACTGGATTGCTTCCTGGCGAGACATCGACGGGAGACCTTTATCCCGATGACCACAGAGGAGAGTGGCCTGTGGCTCTCATGACGACGGTGTACCTGAAAATGCTACAAGCACGTCTTCCCAAAGTGGTCAGTTGGAAGAGGCTGACGCTTAACACCCTCGTCTCACCAGGAGAAATAAGATCGTCATGGAAGCCCACCCAGTGATTTTGAGAATGATGAACCTGGGGCCTGAATTGTTCCTTTCCGCGTCTATGGCAAGTGTGATGGACACCTTGATTCCCTGTCTGCCCTATCTCGTGGGTGGGCCGTTGGGAAGTCAAGGAGGAAGGCAGGACGGGCGAGCAAGGGTAGACGCCTTTCTTCGACGAAAATTCTAACGTGCGTTATTCCATTAAAAGAAATTCAGGGAAAGAAGCAGAAAGTACGACGAGTAGTTGAGCAGAAGGCGAGAGCCGGGCGAATCTCCTATCCCGTTTGGTGAGTTGGCGATTGGACGAGGGTCCTGATGATCACCGTCGCTTTGCAATCTTACCGGATAAAATATGCCACGGATAGGTAAGTTTAGCACTGCATCACCAGTCGCCTTCTCGATTCAGGCTCATGTGATATCTTCGTACGAGGATTTCAAAAAAGAGAGTGGGCGATATGAGGAGCATCTGCCACAGATGCACTTGGAGATTGAGGTCAGGACATCCATGATAAATGCGCTTGAAGATTGAGGACATCCGTGACAGATATCTGGAAGTAACACGACAGCAGACAGAGTAACACGTCGCTGGTTACAGTGGGTAAACTGCATTCTACACGACATGGTGTATCCCTTTCTAAATATACCCACGCCATAGTCACAGCGAGTACAATGTGGTATGAACTCTATAACTTACTAGACAATGAACAAAAGTTCAGCTTGTAAAAGTGGAACCAAGTTGGAAACTCACCACACAATGACAGTATGGCAAAGAAGTCACAGAGCCCAAAGCTGGGCACCCGGCACATCCACTGTGCGGATAGGACACGTCTGTACCAGTGCAGCCAAGTCGGTTTTACTAATTGGGCCTGCTCCGAAGACAGGTGAACTCCAATTAAAATGAAGTAATTACCTTCGTATTAAAACACGCAAAATAGCCCACCCACCAATAGCAGTGAACCTGCCGACATAGAGACATACGATTGAGAAGATAATGGAATGCGATACAACTCCAATGACGGACAGTATTCCTGCAGCATTTGAAGGAGACGGACATCGGCGGCGTTGGAAGGCTCCGGGGTTATCACATAATCGGAGACAGGCTCCTAGATGAGTTGTAGACGCAACGTTCGGTGTCCCAAGTTCCTCCGCTTCATGAACCAATCCATGAGAGGTTCGTAGTGGTTCACTCGAAAGGAAACGAAATCTTGTATGTCTAGGCTCTTGAGGTGCATCCAGTTGTCGATAGGGCTACAGTGGTCATCTGGATGATCCACCACTCGGCAGGGGGAAAACAACGAAAAGAGGTATTGCATATTAATGGTTGCATGACGCAGGCCATGAAATACCTGGCAGAGTTCCTTGGCCATATCCGATATATCTTGGTGGGGTGTCACGTGAAGGAACCCAGCAAAAATAAGGTGGCGGACGTTGTCGAACTTCGACTTAGGGTCCCTTAAACGCTCTGCAGATGCTGATGTCCACAGTATTCCTCGGAAAATTCAAAGCGTTCGAGCCTTGATGCCACAGCGGATTCCAAGAACGACATAGGATCATTGATTCGAAGTATGAGGTACTCAAGAACAGGAAAGTGGATGCTGTCTCGTGGAAATTTCGAACCATAAGTGGTGCCCCAGAGCGACAGTTTGGTCAACGAATATTTCCCAGGAAGGCGCTGTGTGGTGCACTATTACCCAGGAGGATAGCAGTCATACTGGAAGCCGAGAGGGATGCGCTCAATCCCTGAAGCTGTAGATTCTTGAGAGCAGGGACACGTGAGTATATCATAGGTAGGAATTTGGCACAATCCCATTCCAGAGATATGACGAGGAACTCAAGGGATGGCAATCCCAGGTAGGCACATGCTGTCCAGGAATTCCAGGGTATCGCCGAGGATCCAAAGAGCGTGCCAACGGTCCTGCATGAGCTGCAACAACGTCCAATAGCTCCGGGTCGTATACTCTGAGGAAGATTGTAAGAGGGGCTTGTCGACTTCTTTCCAAGTGCAGCTTCAACAAAGTCGAGGTTATGTAGTTTTCCAACCAGATCTCGCTCCAGATACTAGGGGTGTCCACTATCACGGCCCTCCAACGGCGCGAGACGCGGGCCAGATTTTCCAACGTATGTCCGAGGAGGAGGAATATCTGTGCAAGCAACTCGTTTGGAAGGCGATCGATGGGTGGCACAGTGCTGGTTCTGATCAACTCGTCGATCACGACTTTCTGAGGTGCTATAGCTTTGCGGGCATCTAACAGCTCCTGGAGCAGTTCCAATTCACTGGATTGCAGGCGGACTAGTTCGGCTCTAACATCGGAAAGGCCTTTCATGCTCGTCCTGGACTCCTGAAATGAGTGTTGCTCGCGGGTCTAAACAAGACCCGGACTCTACCTGAGTATGGATTTCTTGCAAGTTGCTATTCAAGTCGGGCCTGAACACTTGATTCGTGCATCGTGAAACCTTGTCCAGCGGGCACGTGTCGAATTATGTCAATTGATGCCAGCCCGGAGTCGTGTGTCTGAGTGCAAGTCCCTTCCCCGTATCTTGCATCCTGAGTTACGATTTCTGTCTCTTTACCAGCGAAGGTGTTGCTGCGCTTTCGTACTAGTGTCTAAGTTAGTCCGAGCGTCATAAAGGAGCGACGATTCGGAGTACGTTCAAATAGACTGATATCCCCAGACTGTCTCTTAGCCAGGGGCTTCAGTCTCTGTCGTTCACAACATACTCCACAGAAAGTGGCGCGAGTTGCTACATGCTACACATACCAATGTCCATACCGCTGCCCGTGATATATATACATGCACATGCATAAGTAGCCATGAAGTGGAAATAAGACAAACAAAAAACCTTGCATCTCATGAAGTCAGTCTACGAAAGTTGAGTCTCACTACGGGACCCGTCCAACCGTGAGGCTACCCTTCTACTATAAAACGAAGCGAGACCTTCCCTACTTCTCTTCATACCACCAAATGAAGCACGAAAAATCATCGAATACGAAGCGCACGTACAGTACGAGACAAAAGAAAAGAAAAGAACCTCAACAGCATTGTCACAACGACATAAAGACCATCCCGATCAATACACAAGCAATCGTTACCGGTGGGGTGACCACGCAGTAGGCCCAAAAGACAGTACGGGAGATCAGGCGCTCGAATGGTGAATTTGCTTCGGACGATGATGCCCCGGTGAGTGTTGGTGATGTTGGAGGGGACACTGGCGCTGGAGCCGATGCTGCAGTGGATGTGTCAGATGGGACGGGTGTTGGTCCTGCAAAAGTTGATGCCGTAGTTGCAGCTGTGACCTCGAGTTCGGGTGTGGGTTTTGGCTCTGCTGCGGCCCTTTGCGAAATCTGCGGAATGCGCAGGATCGGGTTAGCGACAGATCGAGGAAGTACTTACATAATGAACGAACGAACCTGTGCAAGCGTCAACGCAGGTGGTGACGCAACCAGCAAAATCGTTGCTACGATGAACACAGGACTGATGAAACACGCAATCACATGTGAGCACCGGATAATACGTGTGAGCACATTACGAAGAAAGTGAGAGGGAGAGACACGTACTCGTCAAATACCTTGATGCCACCCTCTCCATCACCCCGTATTTTGAGAAAAGCCATTAAAGGGAGAATAAGGAGCGGCGTGAGGATCATTCTGGATAGAAGAGTGATGACGACGGTTGTTGTTTCGCCTGGGGGAGGTGTAGGACGGACAGCTTTGGTAGGGTCGTTGTCAACGATGGCATCGGTATGTCCGCTCGTCTGTTTCCCATTAGGGCTCGTGGACGAACGCATACGCCATATTGCACGCTCTCCCGCTTCGATATCTACGTCACGATCCTGTTCGTCATAGTCATCTGCGAGATGTATAGGTCCCCTCCGCCTCCGTCTCCCACTAACAGGGGTCATCTTCCATATATCCTGTAGCACGCTGAATAGCGACGACAGCGACGGAGAACGGGAGATGTTGCCGCTGTCCCGGCGACTAACACCATGCCGAGCCTGTTCTTGCATGCGATCGCGGGCAGCGAGCGGTTCGGCGCTTCCGCATGCGAGAACTTGCCGGCGACGTGTCTGTGTGTGAGTGCTGTCGTGATTTTCTCGGAGCTCCCGTTCGATTCCATCTTGTTCGAGTTCGCTCTCGTCATCAGCCCGGCCGGGTACACCTGGGATCCTTGTTTCGTGTCTTGTACTCTCGGTCATACTACCATCATCGGCTCCACTCCTATGTCTTCGTTTAGCATCCTTCCCTTCCTTCCCATTATCCTCCCAAAACCATCCCCCGAGCACGACCAACGTCAAGGGAACGCTGCACGCTCCTGCACTGTCCAGTGCGCCTTTCACAGGGGCCACCAAATCGCTTTTGAGCATCGGCTGAAATGGTGGAAGTGTGAGCAGGAGTGCGAGGAGGGACGCGAAGAGAGGCGGTGGTGGAGTTGGTATGCGTATCCGTTGGATGAGGGTGCGTAGAGGTTGGGATAGGGAGATAGTACGATACGAGGGGAGCCGTTCCCTCGCCGTGGTGGAACGAGAGGGTGCATCGATGGCATAGTCGTGTGAAGACGGGGTGTACGTGGTATTGGAGAGAAGCGATGGCGCGGGGAGTGGGTGAACGACGAGCGTCTCGTCCGAATCTGTTTCGAGGTCGGAGTCCGACGGGGCATGAAACGGCGTCGAGCTGGAGATTTCTTCGCCGAAACCTGCGGGGGGAAGGTGGGCGGCGAACTCTCGGTGGCGGTATCGGGGGTAAATTTGTGCCTGGAGAGTGTTCTGAGCTGATCCACGAGACCCGATTTCCGGTGTTGGACTCTGTATCCATATCTTTTTGTTTGCGCCCGATTCACCCGAACGCCCTGATGCAGCCTGGTCGATTAACTCAGGCTCTTCCGTATCTGCATGCGAGAGCAATTGGACACCATAACTCCACCGTAGCTGTAGACGGACGTAAGACATGGCGTAGTCGAACACGTGACGAAGCGAAGAAAACGCCAAGTAAAGAAGGCTTACCATCATGCCAAGGGTGCTAAAGACAACGAGATAGGTGAGCGCCCTGCCAAACATGGCGTTTTGGTCGTCATCGGGTGTCCATTTTAGCCCTGGAACCGTGGCGACAAGGGATTGCATTAGTGCAACAGGAAGAGAGTTGGAATTCATGAACATGGAGGCGGCGATAGCAAAGTTTCTTGCCGCAAGGTGAGGGTATAGATGAATGCGAGGAGAGGGTGGACATACCTTTGGGAACGTTTAAGGTAGCATATTCGAGCGAATACGTTGGCAATAAGACCAGACAAGCCGGATACCAGCAAGAAGAAGAGTGGGATGACCCATAACTCGCGTAGTTTCTCTTCGTGGTAAGATGTTAGCAAAGTCGCAATGACGACTGGGACAGAGGGGACATGCCTAGACTAAGAAAGAAGGCTACTTTGGAGAAGAGCAGTGCAGGGGTGAATAGAAAGACATTGATGTTGTTGAGTGTCCTCTGGGTGCGTTTGTCTGTGATGCCCTTCCAGGAAAGATAGTAGCCTGTCAGGCACAGTAGAAACACCTGAAATATCGACTGCAAAGCAAAATCAGACGGTACACTCGCTAAAATGCGAGAAAGAATACCTGGAATACGGTGTAGAGGAGTGGCAAGACGGGTGTGTTTGCGATATGCATCAATTCTGCGGGCTCGCACACCCGCCTGCTTCTTTAATACGCTGACGCGGGATCATCGGATGGAGAACACGTGCGTCGGTGGCTGTGCGGTATCGCCAAGGAAATGTAGAAGCTGACGTCAATGTCAACAACGTGATGGCCTGGAGGTGCAGCGGAAGGTCGAACAACGAGCCGATACGAAATCTGGCTCGACAGAGCATCCTAGCCTTAGACAGGGTCACTGACGTGCGTTCACTGCTGTGCGCGTATCAGACCTACTGACTCATGCACCAGCTGGCAGGCCATGGCCAAGGTCAACACGGTCAACCGTACGCCCTACCTTTGGCCAAGCAATGCATACCAAGACTCTCCGCAGTTCGTCTTCTTTTTTCTTCCTCGAACATTCCATTCTCTGGGCGATGTGCTCTCACGGATCCATCGGGCACGGCGCCACCTTATCTGCTCCTCACATGGTAATCTCGCTCTCTCTGTCTTTCCCCCGTGGCACCCCCCTTTCATCATGATGTCAGCACGCACACTGCGTTGGAGAACACGCTCCCATACGTCCACCCTGGAGCCACCGTTGTCATCGTAGGCAGCGGATCGGGATATTTGGCTGTAGTCCTGCATCACCTTGTCTCCCCCATGCATTCGTCTGACAACCCAAACCTGCCTCAGGGGAAAGTCATCGGGATAGACCACATCCCCGACGTCGCAGAACGGTCAAAGTACAACCTTGAGAATGACGGGCTCGGCGCTGGATTGACGGTAAGATCGAACTAGTCGCAGGAAATGGAAGGTAGGGGAATGTTCCCAACGGTACGTAATTGTTCTTGTTCATCCCGAAGAAAGCTGCTCGCTCTCCTTCGATTGCCTCGTATGACGTGATGCAAGCACCTAGCTCCTCCACTGCTCATGTAATCGGTGCATAGCGTCCCATTTTCAATTGACTTAACTCCGGAGCTACTCGCAGTATAGTCGACCTCGTAATGGACACGATTACGGTGGGCGAGAAGGATCATGTTGCCATTTCAAGGTTTGGGGTCTGTATGCTTGCAACCATACCCGGGACTCCACCCCACAGATTGGGGGTTATATAAATGTGTTACGAAATCTTTGCCACGCATCCCAAGTAGCCGCCATGTCTGATAATGACGAACTCACAGGCCCACAGGTTGACTCGATGGCACCTCGAAGTAACGATGCTACCACCCGTTTCATCCCAAAACCTACAGGGAAACGTCAGCATAAGGATTGTCGTTAGTCCATCACAGCCTTTTGGGGTTCTACTGCTATGGTGGGCCATAAGGATAGCTTAACATTTTCATAGTCCAGACTATGACAGCATGCCATGCCCTTCATTCAAAGTTTGTATTATGTAAACCATACCTAGTTGGCAGTGCATGTTGTAATTATGAAATTGTTCATTTGGCCTTGTTGGTGAGCACTACAGCTGCTTGTCAGGATGCAAGCTGATGCCCAGTGAAAACTGGCCATGGCTGGGTGTGATGTGATGTGACAGGATGTGATCAAACTGGGCAAGTGATACATGGTCACATGGAGTCAGAGTGTTATGCTGATGACTTGTATTGTGCCATGAATTGAGTGTGGTGAAGGAGCAGAGCTAAGGGTGGTTGCAAAGTAGATTTCAAATGAGGGAGCAGTACAATACATGCAGGTTTATATACATATGTAGAGTACCTGCAAACCAAACATTCAAAAACATTTATACATACACCTGAGTTCCTATCCCAGCAGTGCAAGTCATAGTGAGTCACTGCACAGCAGGACTACACATATAACCATGTCTGCAGAGTAGGGAGGGACTGGGGGTAGACATATGACATAGGAAGGGTAACCACATATATATGACATACAGGGGTAAACAAGTACTAGGGGTACACATGTCATGTGACTGTGTGGATCAGGGCCACCAGTGGATCACAGAAGGAAGGGTGAACAGACACAGTCCAGCTATAGTACAACATGGGGTAAACAGGGGTGAGGACATAAAAGGAAACATACAGAATGTGAGGTCAACTACATAAGTGGTGGCTCATGGGCAATAGAACATCAGTCACTTGAAAGTGTGATGAGCATGCAAATGTATTGTACAAAGTCTAGAAAGGAAAGAATGTGAGTGTCAGTGTGACATCACCCCCCCCCTGCCCCCCTCCAAGGCCTGAGGTCCTCTGAAGGCAGGTAAAGGCCTTGGACCACCCAGGAGCAGATTTCACTGTTAGTTGCCACTGTGAGCTGGGCAGTTAGATGACCAATGTCCAAGGCATGAACATTGGTAGCAGGCAAATTGATGCAGGGGATGCTCCCAACTGATGGGTATGAGCCCACCAAGTTCATGTTTGCTGAGGGAATTCGATAGGATACTGGAATGAAGGGACAAGGTGGCAGAGGTTGGGTTGTCTTAGTAGCATAGAAGATGGCCTGTCCTGCCAAATCTCTGCAGGCTTGAGTGAAAAAGTTGAGCCAGTTGCAGGGAGACCCATTGAAGGGGACTTCTGTGAGGGTGTCTGTGATGGCTCAGAAATGTTCTCTCCCTTGGCCCAGTATAATCTTCTCCCAGCAATCATGACACCTCTGTTCAGCATCTCCTCCAGCCTCTGATATTCCTCCTTGTTGATGTTGTGTACCACTTTGGTGACTGGCTTCTTCTCCCATGAGCATCCATGCTTCTTTTTGGTCAGGGTCCAAAGGAAGGCTTGGTTTTCCAGGTGTTGTTTGATATCCCAGAGAGAAGAGCCCACAGACCATGATGTCAAGGGGGAGTTGGTTGAGAAAGGAATGGAAGGAGGACACAAGGGAGGGGCCATAGTCTTCATGAATGATTTTGACTATGGCTTCTTGGGTCTTCAGGGCTTCCTGGAGGATAGATGAATTGGTGTGATTGAGGTTCTCATATGTATGCACTTTGAAACTCTCATTGGCAGTTCTGGCTTGATTGTACATGCACTTTCTGATCACTTCTGAGCTTCTGAAGATTGTAGACAGCATCTGTAGATGCTCATGGTGTTCTCCTGCTCTCCAGCTGTGTGATTCCCAGTGCTCAAAGTTGTTAAGGCAGCTGCATGTAACCAAGGAAGAGGCTTGCCTCAGGAGCCAGTCTGCTGGCTGTGCCAGCAGGAGCAGAGGGGACAACTGTGGGGCCTGACAGTGCAGCTGGTGTGACACAAGGCTCTGGAGCAGATGAGCCAGGGCAAGAGGCTGGGGTTGGTGTTCTGTAGGTGGCTTGGGAGAGTGGGGGTATTACACAATCTGAAAGAGGTGTCATAGCAAGGTCCAGATGACTCCTTGTGAGCTTTGGACTTTCCCTTGCAGGCATCCTTACAAGCTCTTTGGGAGGAGGGGACTGAGCAGATGACTGGGTATGGATATGGGCATGTGGTGGAGGTGATGGTGTAGGGAGTTGTATACTCCTTGAGGCTGGAACATGAATCAGTCACTAAATTCTGCAAGCCTCTGTGACAGACCCATTTCAGGATATTTCCTGCTTGTGACCTCATGTTTTCTCCCAACCCTGTTGCCTTTGGAGTTTGTCCTGACCTTCAGCATGTCACCCAGTCATCAGTAAAGCTGATCTGGAAATTCTGCATTTGCCCAGAGTCATCCAGAGTTCAGTAGCTGCACTGCCTAACCATGTCATCACTCATTTGTGCCAGATGCCTCTAAAAAACTCTGGTTATCCCTATTGCCCTAAATTCTGCAAGCTGGACTTTGTGCCAGTATGCTCTACCCTCCTGTGCTTCCCCCTCCTGTCAGCTCCACCTCTCACTTGTATGCATACCCTAGTTCTGTTGGAAGATACCCCTTACTGTTGACCTGTTTTTACTCTTGTCTACTACTTGCCAGACTATTTCATGTGCATCTGTAATTCACTGACATCTGTCATCCTTTCCTTTATTTTCCAGGTTTTTTTGTTTTTCTGCCCCACCTTACTCTGACTCAGTACCTACTTCCCTTGTACTATATAATTCCACCATAATGTTGGAAATAAACCACCCACCTTTAGAGTCACTATCTGTGTGTGATCTGTGAGTTTGAGAAGTTCTCAGAGTCTAAGTGTGTATTTTGAGTCTATAGTGTCTACATATCCCCAGTGATCCTCGTGTCTCTTGTGCCTTCCAATCCTGCACACCTTTTCCATATCCCCCTCACCTCAAATACACTCTTCTTGCTGCAATTCAGCTTCTCGGAATTTCGTATACCCATCTCAGCTATCCTTGCACATCCACGACCTCCCCCCCCAGAATTAAATTCTTCGACCCTTGCACATATTCCCCACCCCTTCTAGGGTAACCCTCAACTTCTCCTTCCACACAGCACCCCTTGGGATGATCCTAGGGAATTCTCCCTTCAGCCTTCCTCTAGTCACATGCTTCTCAGAAGACATGTGTCACACAATGGAGTCATGAAGGGGTTGGTAGGCACTGCCATGTGAGGAGTTGGGGGATACCAAGGGGGATAAGGAGCATAATGCTCTGGGGGAGCATACTGGTGGTTCTGAGAGGTGAGGAGGGGTACTGGACATAACAATTGAAGTAGGGGTGAGATGGGTTGTAGGGTTCATTGATGTCAGCATGGAAGTCATTGTCAAAGTAGTTGGAGCTGGGGTTTCCAGTGTTAGGGGTGTAGGACATAGCAGTCAGAGGTTGTGAATGCACTTGTACTCCCCAAAAACCTCTGGGGCATTTAAAAGGTTGTCCTCACTTTCCCAACAATTTTGGGAATGCAGGTAACTGAGCCACTTGATGAGATAGAGATATTTTTGCTGCAGGGTTATGCCAGGTTCTTTGGATGATGACTTGACTTTCTGCACATGTTTGTGCTTAAGTATAGCCTCGACTTCCCATTTGTTCTCACCTCCTACCAGTTCTGGTGGAGGTGGGGGTTGTGCTGGGCCATACTCCTTTGTTTTGATGAAAGGGGTAAGTTTGGATGTGTGGAACATGGGGTGTCTTTGCCAATTAGGGGGAAGTCAGAGCTTGTAGGTGACCAGGCTGATCCACTCAGAAATTACAAATGGGCTATGTTGTCAGGGTGCAAGCTTCTTTGATGGAACTTCCCTTTTTAGGTCAGAGGCATCCAACCAAACCTTATCTCCTATGGAGAACTCTGTATAGGTCCCTTTTGATCATTGTTTCATTAACTCCTGTGCTTCTTTGTGAGTGATAATCACAGTGTCCTGATTAGCAGCCAACTGCTCAAGTCAATCACCCACTAATGACTCCACTGGAGGTTGCCCAGTTGGATAGGGGGCAGGGTCAAAGCTGTACATGAGCAAATATGGTGTTTGGTTGTGGGATGAGTGTACATGCAAGTTATGCACCATTTGAGCATCTGGGAGTTTGGTATGCCAGTTGTGTGGGTCTGTGTCCACATACATGCATAGATATGTGCCAACCTCTTGGTTAACACATTCAGCCTTGCCATTGGTCTGTGGGTGATATGCAGTGGAGGCCTTCAACTTGATTCTGAGGGACTGGTAAAGGTCATGAGTGAAGGCAGAGACAAATTGAGGTCCCTGGTCTGAGATGACAGCTTCTGGGACACCCCAGTGGGGATAGACATAGGTGTGGTAAAGGTCTGCCATGCCTACACTATCCACTGTTTTAGTAGTTGGTAGGAAGAACATGCCTTTAGTGAGTCCCTGGTCAACTATGATGAGGATCAAGTTGTATCTTCCTCTGGATAGGGGTAGATCCATTATGAGGTCCATAGAGATTTGTTTGAAGGGGAAAGGGTTCTTTGCCACATCATGTGGGGTGATG